TTTTATTTAAATTCACCTTGGGTGTAAATATTCTTGTTGAAATAAGCCTTGAAAAATGTCTGTCAGTTGTCATGAAAGGCTGTCATGTGTTTCACAGCCTTATGAACACTGTATGACTTTCTGCTATCTGTTCTGCATGTAGGGAGTTTATTGAGTCATTGGTTAAACGTAGGTGCTTTAATGGCATTTCTTACACTCTTTCTCCTTTCTGCTCAACAGCTGGTACCGGCCAGCCAATGGGCCCCCGTCCCACCCTGGGCGTGACCACGCCCCGTGCCATGCCTCCATACAAATATGCCACCACAGTGAGAAACACCCAGCCTCAAGTAGTGCAGCCCATTGCCTTACAGCAGGTAGGTTCCTCTGAGCATATTACCCATCGCTGTTACAGTGCAGATAAAAAATAAACAGCCATTCTGTTTACAAATGGCTGCTGTTGAGCAAATAATTCCCATTATAAGATTCCATTTGAAAAGGCACATATAGGAAATTTTCCTTGGTTTTTTTTTTTTAAGACTTTGGACAATGTAAACGCTCGTACAGTTCGGCCTTCATACATGAAAACAGCTGCAAAAACAGTCTGTTTTGAATTCATCATGGTTGTGATGTCAGAACCACGTGTAAATTAGCATATTGCTGCTGTCCAAAAAACATCGACATCATTTGAGCACAGCAGCTATCGTTTACGTCAAAATTTTATGATTAATTGACCAATAGAAATGATCCAAAAGTACTTTAACTTACATTAATAGTAAAAAAAAATGTTTTGAGCTTTTGACTTCAGCAGCACTGCTGTGTAAAGTTACCATTTAGACGGCAGTGGTATGATTTTTCCATTCAGCCTACAGCAGTTCTGCTCCGCCCATTCCCGTTGAAGTGATATGGAGTGTTGTTCCTGCAGACAGTTATTGGAGAAGATATGGAGGAAACACTGTGATGTTTCTGGCTGTCAGAAAGCAAATGGATCATCACAGCCTTTCAGTGAAAAATTTATTTTTCTAAGCTGCTGTGTGTGTTTTCTTCAGGCTCAGCCTGCAGTCCATGTGCAGGGTCAGGAGCCACTGACTGCCTCCATGCTGGCCGCGGCCCCTCCACAAGAGCAGAAGCAGATGCTGGGTGAGTTTTAAAGGCTTTTTAGTCAAACCCAGATACAAAAAATTGTCATTTTTTTCTACTTTCACTTTTGTAAATGACCACCCATTCGTTCTGCAGCAGTTTAGCCCCGCCCGACCTTGTAATGCAGTAAAGCAATGCAGAGTGTTGTTCATGCAAGCAGGCTGGAGCAGCAGGCAGATGCACAGATAGACCCCAGGAGGGGCTTTTGCCATTAGACTATAAAGTGCCCTCTTGGTCAGTTTGCATAATAGTTGTCTTCAAATGGCCATTCTTCAGGATCTGTTTATACGAGACAAGGCTTAGCCTCAGCCTGGGAATAGAGCTAGTGGGTCAGCTTGAGTTTCATGAGCTTCATCACTATCTGGTGCAGAACTGATCAACACAACCTGCTAATCCAAGTTTTTGTTACTGTAAAAAAACAAGGGTTATGTAAATCTTTTAAACAGAGCTATAACTAAGTGGTTCATAGTATTTAGATAACATAGTGGGTACTGTTACATCCTGTATGCTGGAGATTGGGGTTCAAATCCCAGATAAAGCTAATGTTTTTGGCTGTATTTCTCTGAAACATAACTCATTTTCTCTTAATAAGAGTGTCTGCAGTGAGCTCTGCATTTATATACGTTTAATTTCTTAACAAGCCAGTTTTAGAACACACTTCTATAACCTAAGAATGGCTCCATTAGTTTGCATTGAAGTCCCTGTAGTTACTGAATAATAAGTCTATGTATGAAATAAACCTGGAATGTTAAGGAGGTTAATTCATGTTCACATGACCCTTTTTTCCCTTGAGCCCCCGAAAACATATGTGCATGACCCTGCATAGAAGAGTTATTGGAGTGAAAGATGTGGAAATTATTTAATGTTGTGCTGTTCTTTGCTGTCAGGAAACAAATATATCACATCAGCCTTCCAATAATACTTGTCCATCCATCAGTTTTACAAGAAAAAGCAGCCCTCTAACATCTCACCTTGACTCATTTCTCTACTTCGCTCCCTTTTCCTCACTCCATTTTTTCTCGCTCTCGTCCTTTCCTTCCCTCTCTCTCACAGGTGAGCGTCTCTTCCCGTTGATCCAGGCCATGCACCCCAGCCTTGCGGGAAAGATCACAGGAATGTTGCTGGAGATTGATAACTCAGAGCTGCTGCACATGCTGGAATCCCACGAATCTTTGCGCTCCAAGGTCAGACTCAGACAGGTTCACTTTCACTCACTCTGTTTCTGTCACTAATGCTGAGATAAGAACAAGTCACAGCACTGGCTCTGATGTTGAGAAGGCCATAAGCCACCTGACATTTTAAGACTTTTAGAGGCAAAAAGAAACTAAAATCAATTTTATATGGATGTAAAGAAAATTGTGTCACATTAAAGAGGTATTGTTGAATAACTTTTGGCATATTTTTTATAAAGTAATTTTTTGGAGAAAATTTCATGATGTATGGACTGATAGAAATGATCCCAAATCACTTGGAATAAAATCTTTTTAGATTAAAGCAAGTTAAGAAGTTTTTGCCTTCTGTAAAGTTAGGGATTTTTTTTCAGACAGCGACTTGTGGTCAGTAACCCATCTCGTTCTGTGTTTTTCTAGGTGGAGGAGGCTGTGGCTGTGCTTCAGGCTCACCAGGCTAAGAAAGACGCCACGCAGAAAGTAGGCGTGAGCACTCCCACTGCTGCTACATCCTGACATGTAAAGCCCACTGTCCACATGGTAATGGAGAACAGTTTTTAATTGATTAACAATAACAGATGTACTAGACCAGCATGAGCTCAGGAGACCCATAAGGTATGCAGTACTGTGCAAAAGCTTATAACATTATTTCTGAGCTGATACTCTACGAATGGTTGATGGTTAAATGGTTCTCTGCATGGTGAAATGGGTTTTTAAACAGGAAGTGTTCTGCTATTTCTCTCCTCACGGAAATCCATGCAATGGCGGAGGATAAGCGGAACCAAACCAGCTCACAGCTGAGCAATAACTCCACTGAAAACAAGAAATTCCTGTTTCTGTATTTGTTTATTTGTATTTATTCTAATATTAGATAGATATTAAATGTTAGATATCAGAAGCACAAATGCACATAATGCCCCGACAGATGCTTTTAAACAAGTTGCTGGGGCTAGAACTTTTGCACAGTACTGTATATAATCGGACAAATTATGTTTAAGTGTAGACATTGTTACAATACTGTATTACTTTCTCCAGTGTTTCTACTTATGCCTTTAATAAATATGGCTCATTTCTTTCCTTTCTGTTTTTCTGCAGGCTGCAGCGAAGGCTTGAGAAGAAAACGTTACACTGGCTGGTGCATTTCACAAGCGAATATTAAAAAAATAAAACATTTAAAAAAAAGAGTAAAAATGAAAGAAAATCATACTTGAACATTTAAAATAATTTGTTGCAGGGCTTCTATTTTTAACTCTGTAATAATTTTTAAATAAATATGGATAGCCTATTTAAAATTTATTTAAAAAGAGGATAATTTCTTTTAAGGGGAAAACGCTCCAGAATGTGGCCAGGACTGACCGACCCTTTTTTTCTATGAGGCCATCAGGCTTGGATCATTTTCTTCATTTGAGAGTTGTGTGTTTGCTGGTTTGATTGGTCCTCTTCCATCTTCTGAACCCTGAGTGGTGTGGCCTTCTGAATAAAGGGATGAATATTTCAACTTTGTGGTTGTGTTGCTGTTTCTCATCGTCACTGACTCTTTCTGAATTTTTGGATGATTTGAAAGACAAAATGTAGCTGTAAGAATCATGTTGAAGTGTGGACAATATACTAAACCTTGGGGTGGACAATATGGCAAAAAAATAACATCGCAATACTTCAAGACACACAATATGTATCGCCATAGTTTTTCCTGAGGTTTCATGAGTTGAAACAGACTAAAAAAAAGAACTGAACGGTTTTTCTTTAAAACAGAAAATACCACCAAAAACTCATGTACAATTATTTTTATTTAACATTTCACTGTACTGCACTAAATCCAGCTAAACTGAACTCAGTATGCTTACTTTGTAATGCAGCATGCAGTTGCTCAGTGTTCAGGTACTCATTATCCACAGTATGCTCAGAAAAGTGGATCCTGATGTATTTCATGGAAATTACCATGATTATGGCAAATATCAGATTATTTCTCGCCTCTAGATACATTTAAAGTAGTTATCATAGCATTATTCCTTCATATGCTATTTAAACAATATTTCATGTCTTTAATGATGATTATAATACACTTATTTCTTTCTTCTGTTTCAACACTTTTCCTCTGTAGTTTGTGTCTCTACACACTTTTCTAGTGACCATTTAGGTTAAAAAAGGATTGGCTTAATGTAAAGCTGATGTAATGTTTAGTTTTTACCCCCAGAGTTCGGTTTCCTGCTTTTTTTGAAGCTGTAGTTCTAAAGTGGGACATTTTAACGCAGTTAGCGCAAAGCAGACGTCACCAAAAACTGCAATACCCATGAAGCATTGCGAGAGGTGCTCGCTTTTATGTAGCAACACAAAAGCGAGAGGAGCAAGAATTTAAAGAGTTTTCCATTTTCAGCGTTTATATCCAAGACAGACGTTTCTTTCTCCCTTTTTGCTTTTCTTTCTTTCTTTCTTTCCAACTTTCCAACTTTCCAAGAAGGGAACGGAAAGTTATTAGAGCTCAGCCTTAACTAGTTGATGTAAACCGAGTGATTAAATCGGTCTGTGTTCTACATTTAGAACTGGTGTTTACTCTCTCGACACATGGTTTTAAAAAAGTGAATTTTCTATTTGTATTCACGACCGACTCGCATTCAGCTGAAAAGCAGCTGCCTTAGAGTCCCCCCACACTCTGTTTTCTGTGCACTCCGCGTCAGCAGGGGGCGGAAGGGCTTTAACAGGGGGACTTTTATTTTACAAACAGCCGCCGGAGACTGACGACTACAGGCCAGAGGTTAAAAACAGAAATGGCAGCCGCCAAACGTGTGCTGTATGTCGGTAAGTTCAGTTACTGAACTCAGAAAGACCTCATGAATTAATTAATTTACCGATATTTTATCATTTCACTGTAATTCAGAAAGAATTTGCATTGGTTTTTGATGGAGTCTCACTTGGACGTTTAATGCTGAACTGGGGTTCCTCCACCTCAGTCAACAGCATGTAGAAAACAATGATGTGAGGAGGAAATCAGTGGACAGCGCATTTATTCTCATTTCTCAGGTGGCCTCGCAGAAGAGGTGGACGAGAAGGTTCTGCATGCAGCGTTCATCCCCTTTGGTGACATTACAGACATTCAGATCCCTCTGGATTATGAAACGGGTAAGAATCAGGCTGTGGAGCCAGCACAGTCTTCAGCTATCGCAGTTTGAAGTGAACATAACATTTATTTAAAAAGAGGATAATTTGTTTTAAGGGGAAAACGCCCCAGAATGTGACCTCGACTGACCGATCCTTTTTTCTATGAGGCCATCATAGAAAAAGCTTGGATCATTTTCTTCATTTGAGAGTTGTGTGTTTGCTGGTTTGATTGGTCCTCTTCCATCTTCTGAGCCCTGAGTGGTGTGGCCTTCTGAATAAAGGGATGAATATTTCAGCTTTGTGGTTGTGTTGCTGTTTCTGATCATCACTGACTGTTTCTGAATTTTTGAATGATTTGAAAGACAAAATGTAGCTGTAAGAATCATGTTGAAGTGTAGACAATATACTAAACAATATGGCAAAAAAAATAACACTGCAATACTTCAAGACACACAATATGTATCGCCATAGTTGAAATGTGATGTGAGCGCTATATTTTCTCTGTTCCTTCAGAGAAGCACCGTGGCTTTGCATTCATTGAGTTTGAGCTGGCAGAGGTGAGTGATTTTTATTTTTTTTTTAAACGTGTTACTGACCTGTACATACACCAATCAGTCATGACATTAAGACCTCCTCTTTATTTCTACACTCATTGTCCATTTTATCAGCTCCACAGTGTTTGTAAACACTGTGTCCACTCTCTGTCCACTCTATTAGACACTCCTACCTTGTCAGTCCACCTTGTAGATGTAAAGTCAGAGACGATAGCTCATCTGCTGCTGCACAGTTTGTGTTGTTCATCGTCTAGTCCTTCGTCAGTGGTCACAGGACGTTGTTGGCTGGATATTTTTGGTTGGTGGACTATTCTCAGTCCAGCAGTGACACTGAGGTGTTTAAAAACTCCAGCAGCACTGCTGTGTCTGATCCACTCAGACCAGCGCAACACACACTAACACACCACCACCACATCAGTGTTACTGCAGTGCTGAGAATGATCCACCACCCAAATAGTACCTGGTCTGTGGTGGTCCTGTGGGGGTGCTGACCAACAAGTACACAGAGAAACAGATGGACTACAGTCTGTAACTGTAGAACTACAAAGTGCTCCTATATAGTAAGTGGAGCTGATAAAATGGACAACGAGTGTAGAAACAAGGAGGTGCTTTTAATGTTATGGCTGATTGGTGTTTCTTAATACATGTGTGTGATCGTACAGTTGAATGCAACTGCTTTAAAAATTATGGTAATGCCGCCATCTAGTGTTGAGCTTCTGTACAGCTTCTGTAACTTTGAAATGTATTGAACTGTCTGTGGTAAATATTATGGGTTTACTCCAATTGTAAATCTAATGACTTATTTTGTTCTTTTACAACTACTTTGCCTTCAGGATGCTGCAGCTGCCATTGATAACATGGTAAGCAACATATTGAGACTGTGATGTGTTTCAAGTTACAGTTTAGTTTACAGTTAATCATAACAGCTCTATAAGATTATAGAGACTTACAGAGGCTTATCAGACTCCAGATATTGAATGCTGGTCTACCACACCCGGTCCAGTTTAGTCAGATATACTACTATTCAGAAGTTTTAAATGCTTGGAATCAAGTTTTAAGTCATAAAAAAACAATTTGGTTGCAGCAAAGCATATAAAATGATTCTCAAAGGTTTCAAATAATTAGTAGAAAGCTGTAAATAAAAATGAAGAAATGTTAGACATGTCCAGAATTCATCATGTGTCACAAGTGGAATTCAAATCTCTGAATCTCAAAATTTTTATGTATTAAAATGGATAATTGCAGTATATTATGTTTGTCATTCGATAACATCTTTTTCACAGAAATGTTATAATATGTAATAGAAATAACAATTGGTTAATGTTTTGTAATACTGAAGTCAACAAAAGTTGTATTATTATTGCACAAAGTAAAAAAAAAAAATGAAATAAATTGCATTGAATTAATTTTTTAACATTTAACAAAATTGATTCTAATTAATGTGATTCCAGATTTTAAACACTATTGTAATTCTAAAGCTTTTTAAAGTAAATTTAGCATAGAAGTACTTACATTTGAGAACATAGATTATGGTTTTTCTTTATATACACTTATAAAATTTTTGTATCATTTTACATAAAATGGTAAAGTTTTTTTAGATTTATTTTTATTCAATATTTCAATAATTTTGTGAATAAGCTTTTAATAATAAATAATTAATAAATAATATTCTGTTGTAATCTGTTTATATAGGTTTTTTTTGTCAAAATATTTTGAGGTTTGACTCCACTTTTGGAATATGATGAATTTTGGATGTTAATTTCATCATAACTTCATTCTCAATGTTCTACGCCTTTGTCAGTCATTTTAGAGCATTGTTTGACTCCGTTCACAATTCTGGACACATCTGACAATCCTAACTGTATTTACTTATAGTTTGAAATTTGAATTTTTCACAAGATTTCATACATTTGCAAACAGGTTGTTTTTATATTATTGGAAACACTGACTTCAACATTTTAAACAGCGATTCTCAGCTATTTCATTGTCGCAATATTTTGCAATATTGATATCTCAAAAGGTTGCAGTATGCACAATCACCCTTTAATAAATCACAAAAAATTGCATTATTGGATGTGAGCATTCTCAATAATGTTAGAACATCGGTTTCTGTGGATGTTGTGGTGCATCGAGAAATTTGACCAGTGCAGACCAAAGTAACAGCAGCCTTGTTCATTCTTGGTATTTTGAATGTATTGCTAAGAACAATGTGATCTCAACATGATAGTTTGTTCCTGTAATGCACGTCTACTGTTTACTGATGTTTGTGAAAACCAGAGTCACCTAAAATAGGACACCTGTATCACCATTATTCACACTGCCACTTATCCAGGCCATGAGTGAATGTTTTTGGCCCTGTGTGTTACAGAATGAGTCAGAGCTATTCGGCAGAACCATCAGAGTGAACATTGCCAAACCCATGAGGATAAAAGAAGGCTCTTCTCGACCTGGTCAGTGCGCTTTGTGGACCTAATCCTAAATGAAGCTCTGTAGACTTCCCCTAGATTCTCACTGATGTCATAGACATCTTGAATAGCTTTAAGAAGAGATATTCAGCCCAGTCTCTGAGGCTCTGTAGCTAGTCCATGGTTTTTTTTTGTTTTTTTTTTTTTACCTGTTTTAGCTGGTCAGTGCTCCTAAAAGAGGCTGTGAATTCATGATGGACTAGGTTGCGGTTCTGAGGACTGTGTTGAATTTTCCAGTTTTAAACATCCTGCGAGCTTTGCTTTTATTTTGTCTCTCTTTTTATTATGCTTAGCTGTGGAATGTAGCATTGCTTGAGCTGCATTTACATTTGAATATTCATTACCATTCAAAACTTTGGAATCATGACAATTTTTATTTTATATACTTAAAGTATATAAAATAATAGTATATAGTGACTTATACAATAGATTTATCTATAACACATACAACACTTTATAAACTTCACATCAAAAGATTTTATTAGATGTTTTATTAAGTATTTCAATTATGTTGGCAAGAAGGTGAAATAATACACCGTAATCATGACTATAATGTTATTTATAATCTATTTTTTTTTTTTTTTAAGCAAGTTCAGTGCTTTTTAGATTCGATCACTGCTTTCAACATACAAGTCATTCTGGATATTAGTTTATTATGAGTTTCATTCTTGATATTCTTCAGTTTTCTCAGTCATTTTTGAATCATCTACTTCATTTATTCAGCTTTGTACTAATTATTTGAAACCTGTCGCACTGGATCCTCAGAACCTTTTTATGCATGTATTTGTAAACTACGTTATTGAAAACTTGATTATAAACTTTTGAACTGAAGCATAAGTATGACTTGTCTTGCTCAGTGTGGTCTGATGATGACTGGCTGAAGAAGTTCTCAGGGAAGACCACAGAAGAGGCAGAGGAGGCGGAGTCAGCAGGACAAGAGACCAATTCAGCAACTCAGGAGGTACAAGGCCCTGTTGACGTCCTCAAATACGTAAAACAGAAGCAAACTGTATGAACCATAATTGCTCATTGTATATTTATAATGCATCTGCACCGTCTTACCATTTGTTCTATGTGTGTTCAGGGTGAGCCGCCGGCTAAGAAGGGCAGGGCAAACCCTCAGGTCTACATGGACATCAAAATCGGCAACAAACCCGCAGGCAGACTGCGCTTCCTCCTCCGAGCAGACGTGGTGCCTATGACTGCAGGTCAGAGCAAACACTCATCGCAGGAGCTCAGCGAGTCCTGCTCCTGCTTCACCTGCGCTTACAGATGTTGATGATTATGGAAAACAAACCTTTTTTTGGTATTAATAACGCACATTAGAGATATTCAGTACAATGACTGTCATTCAGTCCCTCAGTCTGGTATTAGCAGCAAGAGTTTGACAATTGCTGCTTCAAGGTGGTGATTTGTGCCTTTTAGTCAGTAGATAGGAAGGACAAAAAGTCTAGCCATTCACTTTTAATTCAACAGACATCGCATGCACTATTTGTAAATACATCTTTTTGAAATGTTTCATATTTTGTAAGAATTATGAAACATATGAGAATTATACTCTCATGCACACTCAAAGTGCTCATGTACTGAACTCTCGCTGGGGTGGTACCCACATGTCGCTGGAATGGTGACCTCAAGGGTGCATTTTTCGAACCTTTATCTTAACGTAATCTGTTAGATTAATGTTTTTTTAAGTTAAATTGACTCCATACACTTTATTCTAACTCCACCTTTCTATTTTGAAAAACAGTTATGAGAAGGGGTAAATACATACCTTTTTTTCTGGGAAAGTGAATGTAGTTGGGTCTTGAAGGGGAATTCCACCCACTTTTCAAAATTTCTATTGCATAGTTTAGTCTTCGAGTTGTAAACGAAGTCATTCAGAGCGGTCTCTTATGAAATGATTTGTAGAGAAACTTACCAGCTTGGAATTTTCTTTACAGTGGTGGTGATGGGAACCAGGTGTCACAATGTCTACAGTGTGAATATAGTTATTTAATATCTAAAACCAGCAGAGAACCTACAGAAGTTTTTATTCGTGATGGATGGATTTTAAAAATGACATTTTAGGCCAAAAATGAACATAAAACAAAGTCCCAGGCATCAGGCAGTGCATTTACAATGATTTCATGTAAGAACTTTCTTTGAGGGAGCTTTTTAGACTTCTGATTCCCATCACCACAACCATCCTGTCTGGGTAGGTTTCTCTAAAATGGAGCATTTCACATCAAACCACTCCATGACTTTGCTTACATTTTAATTATTGAATTGTACAGAAATTTTGAAAAAGCGATGGAATTTCCCTTTTAAGGCCTGTTTTATACTTTTAAGGGTACATTTACATTGTTTCTACTTTGAGAGGCTAAAATGTGTCTGTACCTGTATGTAAATGTATTTTTTTTTCTTACAGTGAATGTAATAATTATTGATAATATTTGTTATTGTGGAAAACTATTTTGTGATTATGGTTTTTGGACAAGTCCCACCCTTTCAGCACCTGCAAAGCTTGATACAGTTTCCTCAAATTACTGTAGATGAATAGCTGGATTAAACACTACGCAAGGCAGTTATAGCAAGATAAGTTATAATTTTAAACACTTGTTTACAAAAGGAAACCACAGCAAGACCCCTGGTGAACTCTTGAACACAGCATCCAAAACAACTGTTTCATACAGAATTTCTCGAATGTTCATGCAGGTATCCGGGAGTAAAGGTTTTGGTTCTTATACGTTCTGAACAGTGTCTGTTTTCACTCTTTAATGACAGAGAACTTCCGTTGCTTGTGCACACATGAGAAGGGCTTTGGGTTTAAAGGCAGCAGCTTCCACAGAATCATCCCCCAGTTCATGTGTCAGGGGGGAGACTTCACCAACCACAACGGCACCGGCGGCAAATCCATCTACGGCCGCAAGTTTGATGATGAGAACTTTGTCCTCAAACACACCGGGCCAGGTGAGTTTCTGACTTAGGACAGCCTGCCCTGTGATCTTTTAAGTGACAGTTCAGTGAAACATCAAATATATACACTTTCTTCTCTACCCCAAATGTAATCGATTAGTGTACGAACTTCAACCATGTCAATGAGATGAAAATAGTGAGAATATGATTTTTCACTGAACTATAGATGGTATTCTGGTGCTCCACAGCCATATTATCAAGGAAAAGTCAATTTTATGTGGAGATGTTAATCCGTACCAAATTGCTAAATTATCTTTGAGTACCAATTATGCGTCATTGCCCGCGATAACATATCTAGTCATCCATAATTACCTTGTAAATACTGCATAAGCTTACATATGGTAGTAGATAGAAGTATACAAACCACTAGAATCATTTATTCCATCTGTGAAAGGCTCAGCAGTATTCTGTCATTCCATCAACTACATCATCAAACGTAGAGGTGGACGATATGGCAAAATTGTAATATTGCGATACTTCAAGAATTGTTCACATTACATGATATGTCATGGTATTTAATTTTTCAGACATCTGATCAGTTGGAACAGAGAAAAAATGACCAGCAGTCCTACATTTTTAAAAATACTGTCAAAAACTGAACACAGTTATTTTTAATCGATATTTGGCCTGCTGTGTTGCCAGTTAACCGGGACTAATTTTGCTCTTTTTATGATAACCTGCATTTGGTTAGTGTTCAACAAGTACGGACGACATGCACAATATGTTCAGAAAGCGTATTGTGTTGTGACGTTATGTCATTACTGTGATTCATTATGTCATATTGCCCAACCCTCATCAAACATTATCATGATTGCGAGTGAGCCCTGCTAACGTTCTGGTGTTAATTGCATTTATAGCTAAAGAAAACTAGATATAGATTTCATAAGTCTCTCGTCGCTCAATGTCAGTTGTCAGTAGTGAACAATTCTCAACACAGAGACAAAACTACAGAATTCATCTTTCACCTGTCTACCTGTGACAAAACGATAAGAGCGGGAGAGCAGACTTTGGTGTGGGACATCCTGAAAGTTTTTTTCTGTTTTTCTCGATATTGAAGATTTTTATTTTGCTCTGCTCTTCAGTCTCTTTCTCCTCATGATGCCAGACAGCCGAGATGATATCAAACCTTACACCGTTTTGTTTTTTGTTGCTGTTGTTGCTACAGCCATGAACCAAGCAATATGCACTGTATGGCCAGAAGTATGTGGACTGGTGCTGATGCTTGACATTGCACAGTGATCTTAGGCTTGTGAGCAGCTGCTCAGCCATGGAAACAGATTTCATGAAGCTCCAGAAACACCTGTGCTGATGTTGCCTCCAGAGGTGGTTTGAAACTCTGTAGTCACTGATGTGACAGTGGAAAGGTGATTTTTGCACACAACTAGCTTCAGCACTCAGCAGCCCTGCTCGGTGAGTTTGCATTGTCTGCCACTTCGAGGCTGAGTTATTGTTGCTCCTAGAACTGAGTCAGATCTAACATGGTAGACATTTCACAAACTGACTTGTGGCAAAGGTGGCACCCAATAATAGTGCCACATTTAAAGTCACTGAGCTCTGTGGAGGTTGCATGGCTGTGTGCTTGATTTTATACAGCTATTAGCAGTGAGTGTAGCTAAAACATCTGAAGTCAATAATTGCAAGGGGTGTCCACATACTTTTGGCCATATTGTGTATTATTGCTATATTTTAGAAGTCAGTATACTTCATTACATCTGCTAGCGTGTCATGTAATCAGCACTTTGACCAGTGGTACATCAACAATGTAGCTGCAGTGACAAGTGTGGCAACAGTTAAATACTAAATCTGTTCTTTTAAACTATTATTCTATAAATGCCTGTTAATGTGAGACGCAAAAAGCTATAAAACACAAATATGATGTCTTTAATGTGTGTTTTTTTTTGTTTGTTTTTTGTTTTTTTTTATGACTGTGCCTGCCACCATATGTATGATGACCCTCTCTGTATTTCTATTGTTTGTTTTGCAGGTCAGCTGTCGATGGCTAACTCTGGGACGAACACTAATGGCTCACAGTTCTTCATCACCTGTGATAAAACTGACTGGCTGGACGGCAAGCATGTGGTGTTTGGAGAATTGATGGAGGGCATGGACGTGTTGCGGGCAATGGAGGTGTGTCTGTGCCCAGTGCCTCAAAATTTTAATAAATTAGCTAGAGTTGTCACTAACTATTGTAATAGTATTTGAGTAATCTGTTGATGATTATTCAAGTAATCGGTTAGGGTGAAATGAAAATTGTGTTTAACTGAATGATAACATACTATGTAGAGAAATTTGAAAGATTCCAAAATATTTTACTATAAAAGATAAAAAATAAAGCCTTTAAAAATACTCACTGTAAAAATGCTGTAGCACATAATGAATGCATAGAAACGTGTCCATCAGGCTTTCTTACTGAGACCAGTAGAGAAATCTCTGATGTACTATCAGGGTTTCTACAGGTGTCAGCAAGTTCAGTTTAATGTTTTTAAGTAAATTTTAATGCCTGTTGTTTGAGAACTCTAGCTGACTGGCAGCTCAGTACCTTTGGTACCTTTGGGCGAAAAGGGTTGTATTATGTACTTCTAATAGTAGTTTAGAGTGCCCAATTCGTTATCTTCACTTGCGCTGTTGTATTTAGTTCAGCATAAATGCTGTAGCAGGCTGGGAACTCTCGAACAGAGGGATGTCAGTCCGTTATACTCAGTAGAATATTGGGCCACATCAAAGCCAGTTCTACGTCTGATCTGCGAATTTAGGCCGCGTTTTGTCTTAAACTTTGCTGGATGTTTAATGTAACACACTTTTAGTATCATTCAAACATTTCAAATATTGTACACTATTTAGGACAGCTGAACAGAGTGAAGTAGGGTTTGGACCATTTGTGGTCATTCAGATTGATTCATAGTGCTCAGTCCTGTGCTTGAATTAACTTAAGATCTGTGTTTTCTCTGCAGGCTCAGGGAACTAAAGATGGCAAACCCAAACAGAAAGTCATTATATCTGACTGCGGGGAGTATGTGTGAGTGGTAAACTCACTAACCACGCCTGGATGTATGTTTGGCTCATCTGTTTTGTAGAGACACTTCTTTTGTAATGCTGATCTGTAAATATCAAATAAACCTTTTATAAAGAACATTGGCTTTTTCAGTAGTGGTGTGGTGTAGCTGGTAAGTGGCCAAGAGGCTAATGGGAAGATACAGGACTAGTCTGCACAATAAATCATATATTTATTAGTACAGTGATATGAGTAGATACCACTGCCCGACTGGCAGAGACCAGTGTAGAGATCTTTGGGAAATAAGGATCCATTACCAGTTACGGATTTAAAGACTCCTGGCGATTTTGTTGTTGTCCAGTCCTTCACTATGTGGATTAAGATGTACCCCTAATTCACTCCTATTGTATTTATTATTGAATCCATCCAATCCTTTCTTTTTTTTTTTTATAAAGAACAAATGTTAGTGAACTGAACGGCTCACCTTGGAGAGCAGCAGTTTTTTAATACATCAAGATATTGCAAATTTTCTCATCCTGATTATTACCTTAATATTTTTTACATTTTTTGAGCATAATGCAGGGGCAGTTTGTCTCAAATTATGGTAAATGTGGAGTACAGATGCTAATAATAGGCAGTAAGTGCCATCATCACTACTGGCCCCCACTACTAGCTGGCAAGCCAACTTAAGTAGCGTACAGCATTGGAATTAAAAGCTGTTGCTGGTGTGCTCTTCATATGCAACATGCACCATGTGACTGTCAGCTGCCATTTGGCAGCTACCGCTGACTGACCATAGCTGCCACTCCTGACTTGCCAATGGCTGACTGACAGCTGCCACTGCAGACTGGTCTGCCAAATCAAATCATAATCAAATCACGTTTATTGTCACATCACATTTACACAGGTGCGAACGTGAGTGAAAATCTTAGGTGGGTACCCCTTTGTAGTAGTTCAATATAAGGAAAAAACAAAAGCTAAACTTTATATATATATACATAATCGCTGTTGTCAGAAGAAAACCCTGTATCTCCAAAGTGGGAACTTTACAGGAGAAGGAAAAAACATACTTTACATTAATGTAACTTTTCTCCAAGTCATTTTGGGCTGTTTCTTTTGGTTGATTAATTATGAAATTTAGACACAATGTAAAGAGCAACAGGCATTTTCAAAATATGTCAAAAACTGAAAGACGACAGCAGCTATACATACATACATACAAAAACACACGCACACACATATATATATATACACACCGATCAGACATAACATTATGACCAACTGTCCTACTATTCTCAGTCCAGCAGTGACACTGAGGTGTTTAAAAACTCCAGCAGCACTGCTGTGTCTGATCCACTCAGACCAGCGCAACACACACTAACACACCACCACCACATCAGTGTTACTGCAGTTTTATTTCAGGAAAGCTGCCTCTGCGTTCTGTTCAGAGAATTTAAAGTATACAGGTATGAACAGGAACTGGCAGCCACTTAGTTGTAGTGAGTGGAAGTACAAAGTAGGGAAGTATAATAAAGTTAATTATGTTAAATATTGTGTGAAATTAATTACAGTATAATAACTACCTGCTAGTGTATAGATAAACAATACTTTACAAAACCTTGGTGATCATATATTTTGCCTATTCTTTAAATTACAGTTGTCCATAAACACTTTATTATCTCACCTTTAATAAATTTGATTACCATGGCAACTAATGATGAAGTACATTGTTACCAGTGAGTGTTCTGGAACTCCGTGTTGACGTGCCTGAAGGACACTAGTGCTGCCAAAATGAACAGGCAGTAATCTTCGGAAAGTTAATACCTTTTACCATAAAACCTTTTGGCTGTGAGGATTCCTGAAGTGATGTACATGCTGAGGAATGTGGTCCCGTTCCGGAGGTTTTCTTCGGTGGAAGAGGAGGCAGGACAATGGGAGCTGCACAGGTCTCCAGTCCCAAAGCCTCCACCGGACGGGGGATGGGGATGGGTCATAGTGTTTTCGTCCTTCATCTACAACGTACTAGTTCTGGGCTTCCACAACTCATTTGGCGTCTACCTGATCAGTCTGATGGAAACTTTTAAAGAGAGCAGCTCCAAAACAGGCAAGTCTGCTGTTCCTGAACAAAGTAAGAAATATTTAAGTAAACAAAACCAAGATCCTGCATTGATCTACAAGAATCAGTCAACCAGATATTTGTCTGATAGACTTTACAGCAATAGTTTGTTGGGACACTCAAATTTCCCCCTTACCCCAAATATAGTCTTTTGTAGTCAAACATATCGTCTACATTAGATGTCAGAATGTAATTTTTTTAATTCTACAGTGAAGCTATGAAGATGGTGTAGCTAACAATTAATGGATGCCTATGTACACCAATTAGAATCTACAAACCGCACACCTGAAGCATTACAAGGGGACAAAAGCACCAGCAAAACTCAGCCTTAAATGAATCTGCTACTGTGGTTTAGTTATGCAGTGTTTCATGTTTATATTTTTATAGGCTGAATCTCAAACGGTGTCTGCTTGCTGTAATAGTTCACCGCAATGCACGAGATATTGGCTTCTGCAACCAAACAGTGCATTAAATATTTAAGGCTGTGTTCAGCCTGGTAAACTGTATCAGACTATATCAGACTGTATCAGACTGGTACCTGCCATTGGTAGCTGCCACTGCTGACTGGAAGCTGCCACTAGCAGGTGCCACCACTGACTTGTAGCTGGCACTGGCAGCTGCCACTGCTGACTGGAAGATGCTCTTGGCAGAATGACAGGCCCCTGCTGGCCAGCATGGCTGCCTTTCAGCTTTCAACAGTACATTAAATATTCAAGGCTGTGTTCAAAATACCCCCTTTTATAAAAATCGTGCACTATATATTATGTCAGCCATGAAGTGTTGTTTAAATTCTTACTAGTAAATCTTTTGGCCATTCTATAGTAGTTCTCTAGCAGGTGCACAATATAGTAAATTCTATTTAGTTAGTTAATGAGTTAATAACTAAATGACTGGCAACTATTAGCTGCCACTGCTGACTGGAAGCTGCCGCTGCTGACTGAAAAAGTGCCACTGCTGATTGGAAGCTGCCACTTGTAACTGCCACTGCTGACTAAAATCTGCCACTGGCAGCTGCCGCTGCTGAGAGGAAGCTGCTCTTGGCTACTGGCATCTGCCACCAATGCCGACTTTCAGCTGCCAGTGGCCGATGGTGAATGAAACAGTGCATCAAAATCCCCTCTTTTATAAAAATAGTGCACTATATAGTGTGCCAGCCATAAATCCAATGATGCTCACCAAAAAAATGTCTTGGTCATTCCATGGTAGTTCTCTAGCAGGTTCACTATATAGTAAATTATATGTAAAGAATAGTTAATGAGTTGATGAGTGAATGACTGGTAACTGTTTGCTGCCAATGCTGACTGGAAGCTGAATAGCAGCCCCCTGCCACCCACCACTGCAGACTTTCAGCTGCCACTGGCTGACTGGTGGAGTAAACAGTGCATTAAATGTCCAAGGTTGTGTTCAAAATCCCCCCTTTATAAAAAATAGTCCACTATATAGTGTGTCAGCCATGAAGTGTTGTTTAAATTCTTGCTAATAAAACTCTTGGTCATTCTATAGTAGTTCTCTAGCAGGTGCACAATATAGTCAATTCTATTTAGGGAACAGTTAATGAGTTAATAAGTGAACGACTGGCAACTATTAGCTGCCACTGCTGACTGAAAAAGTGCCACTGCTGATTGGAAGCTGCCACTGGTCGACTGATGCATTAAATGGTGACTGTGTTCAAAATCTCGCCCTTTTATGAAATAAAGGACTATATAGTGTGTCAGCCATGTAGTGTTTGGTCTTTCCATGTTAGTTCTCCAGCTCACTATGTATTAAATGTTGTGTAGTGAATAGGGAATGAGTTAACGAGTAAACCACAGACACATCCATTTGAGATTCGGCCGTGGGCAGCATGTCCCCTAGTTTACATTTGATTGCAATAACCTTTTATAGTCATAATAACAATTTCCAATGCATCTACATTTATGATTTATAGGGTGTGCTAGACTGGGAAATTCAGCCATAGGTACAGGGTCACACACTGCAAGTCTATTTGAGATTACCAACAACTTCAGTGTGGTGATTTAGATGTTGGTGAGGCTTCCATCAACTGTTGGTTACACTAGCTTCTCAACTCAGAACTAAAGAAGCAAATTTCAGACACCAAACATCAACTATATTTGGGGCAAGAGTAAAAGCTGCATAATATGATTTTTCATCCTTTTAATTTGCCAACTTCTTATTCAAAATTTTTGTTCCACCTTAAATGGCACAGCAGTTATAACGCTGAACATTTAATAGTCAACTGAAAATTCTGCAATTGCTGCACCATTTAAGGTGGAACAGAATATTCAAATGAAAAGCTAACTTCAGCCTCACCCAGCTAGCTAAATGAGAGCTCGCCATCATGGTCTCTGTGGTTGTGGTTTGCAGCTTGGGTGGGTTCCATCAGCTACGGCTTCATCATAATCTTCGGCCCAGTCTCAGGGAAGCTGACGGTGCGTTACGGAGCCAGAGAGATTTCCATCGCGGGCTCCATCATCATCCTCATCTCCATCGTCTGCTCTTCCCTCGCTCCGTCACTAGGGGTGCTCTTCTTCACACACGGCTTCCTGACAGGACTTGGCTCCAGCTTCGCTTTCACTCCGGGTTAGTATACAAGAACAAATTCACACTGAAAAAGCCCAGTTAAACCCACCTTTCAAGCCCACCATTCCCCCTAACAGCCCTGTTTCTGTTCTGGGACTTAATAGGGGGCTTCATCCAAACTGTCAGAATTGTGTTTGTTTTTATATTAATATTTTTTATTATTGTATTTTTAAATATTATATAAGTGTTCATTTCAAAATGCGGTATATCCATTTGTAACAATTTTGGATATAATGAGTTTTTGAAAAGAATAACAGCTGAACTATAAGAGCTCATGTTTTCCATAATAAAGGTAGCATAAAGGTAGTTAAAGGTAGATGTCTGTATATATATATATATATATATATATATAAAAACAATATTCAACAAAACAATTCAACAGTAATATGAATGAAATTGTACTCATCTTGCTTTCAGTCATAGTGTAACATTCAGTTTCTCCGTGTGTACATCAGGTATGATCATGGTGAGTCAGTATTTCACCACTAAGCGTTCTCTGGCCACTGGAATAGTGATGTCCGGCGGTGCTGCAGGCGCTCTGCTGCAGACCCGCCTCCATCAGTACCTTATCGACACGCTGGGCTGGAGACAGAGCCTGAGAGTTTTCTCCTCCTTAATGCTCCTCTGCGTCATCCTCGGCTACACCTACCTTTCTCTCAACCCCAAAGGTCAATCACACACTCACCAGCTGACCCTAAAGACCTGTGTTGAGCTGCTAGTGAGCAATGAGAGGTGAATGGAGGGGGGGGGGTGAGAACCCCCCCGCTGTAAAAAAAATCGAAAATTTTCGAAAATGTCTGTTGGCCTTTATATTGTGTGTAAATTTCATGATGAATGGACCAAAAGAAACAGCCCAAAATTACTTTGATAAAATTCTGGTTCCATTGACTTACATTAAAAGTAAAGTAGGTTTCTTTCCTTCTCCTGTAAAGTTCCCATTTTGGAGATACAAGGTTTTCTTCCGACTGCAGCGATATGAAATTTCAATAAATGTATTCATGAAATGTTCACAGTTTTGATGCTTTGCAGTGGTTTGACCTTCAATGTGTGTTTTTTAACAGGACACAGCAGCAGTGTTGTAGATAACCTGAAGAACTCTCCTCTAAAGAAGTTTGTGATAGACCTCGGCCTGTGGAAGGATTCCGTCTTCCTCCTCTGGGTGCTCGCTAACGGACTCTGCAAATTTGGCTTCTTTATTCCATACGTCCACCTGGTGGGTAATAATTAAAGCAGAGCTTTTTGTTTGGCTGTCTTGATTACCTGATTAAAATCTAAAAGATCATGAATGAAAATGTTGATGAATTGAGAATGATCAGTTGGGAGTTTGCAGTTCTATTTTTTTTTTTTTATTTTCAATTAGGGTGAATTAATTCTCAAATAAACTGATGATAACAACCCTAACTGAGTGTTCACAATGAGTTATTTACCACCTGATAACCGTACATAAGTATTGTTGCTGTGTTGAAGGTGAAGCATGCTGTGCAGCTGGGCATTCCCCGGGTCAGTGCTACCAACATCATGCTAGTGCTGGGCGTAAGCAGCATGGTCAGCCGCATCATCTTCGGCCGAATCTGCGACTCGGACAGGATCAACCGCCTCTACTTCAATCAGGCTTCCGTGTTCTTCGTGGGTGAGCCTCGTCACTTGGCAGCTGCTTATTTTCAGCTGTAGTTTAGTAAAATATTGATTTACACATTTTCCCCATGACCTCAAATAAACACGATCAGCCAAGACATGTTTGTTGTTTGAAGTTTGCTTCTACAAGGCTAATGTAGCTAATGGAATGGAAGCTTATGCCCCACCAGTTGGCACTGTGCAGCTGCATGGCTACATCATGTAGCTTTAAACTCAAACAGGCTTCTATTATTTTATTTATTTATTTATTAATTTAGCATTTTGTTCATTTTTATACTCCACACAGTTTGCGATGCATGTGTGATAATTCAGGTATGCGGTGCGCACAATGCTAACTGGTGAGTGACATTAGCCTTGTAGCAAATTACATTGAGGTAAGGGAGAGAAAATGTTGTAGTAAATGATCCTTTATGGAGAGAAATGAGCTTAACTTTGATGCAACCGAACACCACTGTGCACTATTTAAAGCTGCACTAAGTAAGTAAAAATTGAAAGAAGTAGCATTACTGAGTCAGGAGCAGGAATTTAAAAGTTTAAAATTTTTAAAGTCAGATTAGATTTTGTGGGAGTTCGTTGGACCACATTACACATCTTGACGTATTAGTATGTACGTAACACACAGGCTCAAAAAGAAGGTCTGGCTCGATGTTTAGGCCTTAAATGCAAAATCTTAATACTGACGAAGACATGATGACTATAGTAGTAATTCACTCACGTCCTCAGAAGACACGTCCTTCTCCAAGTTTTGGCTGAGTTCTCTTTGAATTCTCTCTGAACTCGCTCACAATCATCAGATTCATCTCCTCGGGGAAGTGGTCCGAGGCACAACCCATTACAAAATGTACACATTTCCACCAGAGAGGTCTCCAAATCCACATGCATTTGTATTGACAGAGATTTTGAATAAAAGCTCCCTTAATCAGTTATAGATTAGATATTGTAATCAATAACCAAATAGGTAGTATTGCCTAACAGAGAATACTAATTCTCTTAGTCTGTCTGCATAGGAGATTCTAGACACTGGAAAGCCCCTGGGTTCACAGAGAAGCCTGTGTGTACCTACTGACCCAGTGAAGAGAGGGGCAAGTTGACCTTGAAAGGTAGAGCAGGCTGGTAAAAACCGGTTGAAACCATTTTTTCGGAGTGAGCTCATCATGCGATGGCCAAATTGATGGATTAAGAGATGCACCTATTCGAGAATGAGCTATTATCAAAATTTGAGAAGTAAGGTGGGGGGATATCAAACTACCCCAGATAAATGGTATATAAGCTGTTGTCTGGAACACTGTTTGTGCAGTTGGGGTCTCTCGAGACCCTGGGCCACCTGATGCTGAAATAAAGAAGAAGCCTTTTTCCGTCTTCCACAAATTCAGCGTCTGAAGACTCTTTCCTTTTTGACATCTTTTGAGAACTTTGAACGGTTATTAGTGAAAGTGTTTAGCTGGTATTAAAAGATTTCTTTTTCATTCATGATATCATGTTGGAGGCCTGGGGTTGAAGGGGACAGGCTTTGGTCCCAACAGTATCTTAAATATTTAATCAGACCATAATAATAACGCAGCACTGTATGTTTGTGTTAGATGAATTTGCTGCAGTCTAAATTTTATGATGTTTTTCTCTCTGTTTCTTTCTCTCCAGGTCTGTTGTACCTCTTCATTCCTCTGATCTGGTCATACGGTGCCCTGATGGCATTTGGCCTATTCCTTGGAATCGCAGATGCAGGGAACTACATTTTGCTCCCTGTGTTGACATTTGACCTCATGGGGGCCGAACGCATGCCTGTGGCCTGGGGTTTTATGCTGACCGTGAACGCCGTCAGCTGCCTGGGACCACCGTTCGCTGGTAAAGTCTCTCTTATTCCTGTTTATTGGAACTTTGTTCATAAAGGTTATGAAAGCAGCAAAGTTATTAGATAAATACTATTTGCTGGTAAAATCTTAGTCACAGTTTTTATCACCTGTCCAGTCTAACATTTAGGTGTTGATCACCTTTTTCTTAAATAACCGTTGCAGATACAGTCTAAGCATGAATGACCAGTCTACTTACAGAACTCACAAATGTGCTAGAACTGCATGATCCAATCACAGTCGTAACCCTCTTAGGTCTCCTATACTGTTTAACGTCTAAGGGTTTATAACCGTGACCCAACAAACAGAACAGAGAAAAAAAATGCTGCAGTTGTGTTGCTCTGTGATGGTGAGACGTGTCTTACCGTCTGTGCTCCTCTAGGTTGGATGAATGACATCACTGGCAGTTATAACCTGGGCTTCGTGGTGGCGGGAGCCTTGAATGTGGTGGCCTGCTTCGTCTTGGCCTTCATCCCGCTGGCCAGGCGCTTGGCCAGACAGACCCGCAGGAGCATCATCAACGTCACCATTGACAACAACACCCATGAGCTCACAGAGTGGACGAGCGGCCTGCCCTTCACTCAGGTATCGCTTATAGTGGATTCACTACTTTCTTAAAATGCTATGCATAATTACACTGTTAAGAAGTAAAGTCATTCAGAGTGGTTTGATGTGAAATGTTTCGTTTTAAAGAATCGTTCACTGTGGTGATGATAGGAACCAGACGTCTGACGTATTTAATGCATCTGAAAGTAACCTCACAGATAGCTGTTACATTACTATGTAATTACTATGTAATAAAATGGCTGATTTGTGAGACATAGAAAAACTAAGAACACACTTTGTTTTGGATAATAAATGGCTATATTTGTGTTGTAGACATGGTGACCCCTGGTTCCCATCACCACCACTGCAGAGAAAATGAAATCCGCAAGTTTCTCTAGAATGAACCATTTCGAATCAAACCACTCTGAATGACTTCATACACATCTCAGTGCATACAAGCCAGCCTAAGACTGAAGAGTAAATTATGAAGTAATTTTTATTTTGATCTGTGGTATCCCCCTTTAATGTAACCCAAGGCCATGTATGAATACTGGGAAGCCCTAAGGATCCCAACTTGGAATCAACCAATAATTGATTCATTTCGATCAGGAAGTGTTTAATAAATGCTTAGAGACAATAAAACAATAACTATATAGAAGAAATATTAAATATAAACAAACATACAATACGTAAAGTTTATTAATTCTACATACTTGTGGGGCCCTTGGTGCCTTGAGGATGCTAAGCGACTGTTTATACAGTTTATAGCATGAAATGGCTCTAATGTAAGCTATTATAATGGAAGATAACAGCTTATTGTCTGATGTAATTTGCATACCAGTTTAATCATGAGCAAGACCACCTGAAGAGCGAGTTAATGAACAACACTTTGGTAGTACAGAAAAAACATGCAGGCCTGCAGGTCCAGTTTTAGGCATATATATTAAGATTTAGGTAGTTTACACAATGCTAATTGGTGGGGCATAAGCTTCCATTGCTTGTTAGCTACATTAGCCTTGTAGCTCCAGTGCAAAACTAAAGAAGCAAATTTCAGACACCAAACATATCTTGTCTGATCACCTACATTTGGGATGAGGGGAAAACTGTAAATGTGTGTTTTCCGGTAGGAGGAGCCTCCACTGTCGAGATACGCGAGATATTTCTCTGCGACTACATTCCGCAGTCCTGAGCTGCAAGAGGTGGTGCCGTCACAGACGTCAGTGCTGGAATAGGAGATTCAGCTGTAGCAGGAAAGACGTCATCAGGGTGAAGTCATCTTTCTTCAGCCCATGCAATGCATTAAACAAGGTTACTGCCCTTGATATTACCTTCAGATGTAGTTTTTCATTGTATCCCATGCATCGTAGAGCCTGACTGCACTGTATAACTTGCACTTTACAGCACTTGATATAATGAAGTCCTGGTCAAATTTCTTATTCCTGAGTAACTCAGTGTGCTGCTGTATTAAGCATTGTCCAGCAGGTGGCGTGCTGAGCTTGAATTTGAGAAGAGTACTAAAGAAAACAGAATGCGTATTCACAGGCCTTCGTACTTAAAAGGCTCATCCTGATGCTCGATATGATAGAGTGGACTTTCATGTAAGATGTTACAATACATAGTATCATATCACAATATATGCAATATGAACAATGTGTAGAAATCAGGTAATATGTACCTACATTCAACGTTGTTACAGAAAAACCTGGTAAGATTTTCAGATTTTTCTATACATTTTTTTTTTGACATGCTTCTCATCCAGAGAATCCATTTTAAACACAGTATTCTATCCCAAAAATGCTCAGGTTGGTTATAAGCAGCATTTTTTTGTTGTTTCTGCATAATTTAATCTTGAAAATTTAAGTATCTCTGAGAGGTTTGGTGTGAACTGCACCATTCTGGAGAAGGTTATCGAGCCAGAGTTGTTCACAGTGGTTTTGATAGGAACCAGACGTCTGAAGAGTTTGACATCTAAAAGCTCCCTCACAGAAAGCTGTTACATAAAATGGTGCAAATACATCACCTAATACTTGCTACAGTGTTTGACGATAGTTTTGAGAAGGTTTTGGCCTGAAATGTATTTTTCAAAATGTACATGCACAGAGGTGTGGCCACAGGTCGCCAGTGCCACACTAGAATGAAGCATGGTCACCCTTCTGGCCACCCCAGTTAGTGAAACAGTCAGCCATCATCAATAAAACCTCAATTATGCTTTACGGTGAAAATTTGCCACCATTGTACCAATCAGGTATCAGAGTGTGATGATGCTGCATTTAATATCTTGCTGTGATTGGCTAATTTCCTGAGCAAACAGGCAGGTGAATGTGTACAGCAGTGCTGCTCATCATCTATCACAGCCACACTATGAAGTAGGCTATGCGATAGTAAGACAAATGAACAATAGAAACTAGGCAGCTATAATCATTTATCATCATGCTAACTGTCTTTTACAGTTTAATACATGCTTGTGTTGTAGTTTACCTTAGACAGTCCTGTCTGACTAGTTTTATAGTCATGTAAAATGTAGCGAGGGCTGCCTGTATGAGTAACATCTGTGGCCTGTCTATATAAGAGGTGTCAAACTCAACCATGAAAAGGCATATTAAAAATCTCAATAAATCTGGGAGCCAGCTGTGTTTTTATACCATTTTTACTAAATATTTGCGGTGACCCCAACAGGCCTTTGTTTCTTCAAAATATGCAGAAACTGCAACAGCAAAAGAAGCACTCAATACTTGAACTATTCAAAAATAATTTTAAATTAATTTTATATGCAACCCCATTTCCAAAAAGTTGGGACGCTGTGCAAAATGTAAATTAAAAACAAAATTCAATGATTTGCAAATCATTAAACCCTATATTTCACTGAAAATAGTACAAAGACAACAAATCAAAAGATGAAACTGAGAAATTGTATTGTTCTTCTTATGCAACAACATGCTCCAAAAAAGTTGGGACGGGGGCCTGTTTACCACTGTGTTTCATCACCTCTCCTTTTAACAACACTCTGTAAGCGTTTGGGAACTGAGGAGACACTGCTGTAGTTTTGAAAGTGAAATGTTTTCCCATTTTTGCTTAACATATGATTTCAGCTGCTCAACAGTTCGGGGGCTCATTTGTCGTATTTTTTTATTTCATAAAGCGCCAAATGTTTTCGATGGGTGACAGGTCTGGACTGCAGGCAGGCCAGTTTAGCACCCGGACTCTTTTAATATGGAGCAATGCTGTTGTAGAATGTGGTTTGGCATTGTCTTGCTGAAATAATCAAGGCCTTCACTGAAAAAGACGTTGTCTGGATGGCAGCACATGTTGCCAAAACATGTCTGTATCGTTCAGCATTAATGGTTTTTACATTGCATTTTGTCTTTATTTACATTTTTCACAGCGTCTCAACTTTTTTGGAAATAGGGTTGTAAAACTATAGGCTTTATTAGCTACAGATAACTGTTAAACTTCTGTAAATGTACTCAGGAGGTATTTTTTTAAATTGTCTATTTGCTTGAACTACACACCAGGCATCTTTTCTTTTTGTGTAACCGCTGGCCCATAGATTATTGTTGGAGAAAGGGAGTTAGACTGCACATTATGTTGCAGTGCATGCTGGGGACTGTAGTGCAGCTCAGGGTGAAACGGGCTGATAATAATAGAAAATTAAAATCATTTTGCGGGCCAAATAGGGTTGTGCCACGGGCCTGACTTGACCCACGGGCCTTGAGTTTGACACATGGGGTCTATATGAAATGTTTAACGCTGTGCACTGAATAACGTGATTTCATTTAATCTTATCTGTTGAAATACATAGTTCCCTTATGAATGACTAGAATAAATATCAACAGTTTTATCTTCTTTACATTTGGCAATACTTGTTTTATTGTATGTTGTATACAGAGACAAAAACAATGCATCACTTTTTATGTCATTGTAATGCATTTTTTTTCTTAGCTGTGTGCCACCCCGTTCTAAAAGTTATAGCTATGCCCCGTACATACGGGGTAGGGCAAAATAGTCCCCTAAGAAAACTTAGTTCCGATTTGCCACAACTTTACCATTATCAACATTACGTATAAAAAGTCAGAAGACAGGCACAGGTCCACCTGCTGTTTTAGATATGACATAAAACAGCTATATTTGAGAGGCCTTCACAATTCTGTATTGACTAATTTGTAGTTTATTTTTATTTAATACAATCCTTAGACTTGTAATATGTAAAATTCTGCAGGTAGTGCAGTACTAATCTTATTCCATTGGTAAGAAACCTATTTTGAGAGAAATAAATGTCACTCTAAGCCTCCTGGAAGTTCTAGATAGGTCACTGATTGAATACGAGACATAGTCTAACTAGGTTGTCAGTTGTTAAAAGCAGAAAATGGCAGTGGCAGCTCTATGTTAATATGTCTTTTATAAGCTTTAAATGTTCTAAAATATTTGCATTGCTGTCAGCTTAGTGCAAACATACTCTTAGAATCCCATCGAGGTTCTAGCAGAAATGAGCATTACTGTAGTACTGTACTGTTTTTCCTTGTTTTTTGACCGAGTTTGGATATTTATGACCTGAGCCGACGGCCTAGCAGTAAGTCACGGTTCTCCACTGCTATATTTGTGTTGTACACATCGCACCCCTGGCTCATATCAGCGCCACTGTAAAGAGAGTCAATGCATTTCACATCAAACCACTCAAAAACGGTTTACCTCAGAATTATTATTTAGAAATTTTGAAAAATCAGCTTTAAAGCCTGTGTGTCACAATCCCACAGCTGGTGTTCTGGACCCCACTGCCAATACGACTGCCCACACATGAATTATCAGCATTTGAGCAATGTCCACACACTCACTGAAGCATCCAAGACAGAACATCAATACAACAGTGTTCAAATGACCAGCAAACCAAAAAAAGAAATGTTTATTTTGAGCACTGACACATACGTTTGTTAGACTGTTAAACTGAAATGGGCAGTTAGAAAGCTCTGAGCCACAAACCTGCTAAACCCATCAAGCCATTCACTTCAGCAGTGCATCAACATCACATCTGAGCGATACAATGAAGCCAGCCAGCCAACAGCATACCACACTAAACCAGCCTATTCACATCCAAACGGTCAATGTAATCAACATTTGTCCTCTGAGTAGTGACACAATGCCTCGCCAGAAGCATCCAGTCACGTCAAGCACAAATCCAAGCCAATCCAAGTTTTTGAGTCCAAGTCCATTTTGTTGACATAAGAAAAATACATTTGTAATTAAAAAAAAGATTCCAAGTTGCACAACAGGACATATTGGAGGTTTGACATTTGTACTGTGCTTTAAGAAACCATTCAGACTTTGTGCCTTGATAAAGAGCAATCATGATTATTCTGACGATGTTTTCAGTCATAAGGAAAAAGACAGATTTGCTTTTTTCCCCTACAGCTCTACCATAAATGATGCCAGTTGTAGAGAACAGGGTGAGAGTTATAGAGCTTTACCTCATATTGTATTGATCACATCATTTGAATAACAATGCAATGTTATTAACAGATGTAGCCTAAATCAAACTTGCTTATTAAATGAAGGTAATCACTAGGGATGTAACAATACATCGTATCAAACTGTACTGCAGCATAATGTATTGTATTAAATTGTACTGCATCATGACTAGCATGTTATCTTGCTTCTAGAACATTATACATCACGGCTTTTGTTCCAAATATTTAAATAATTTTATAATGTTAAATGAACTGAAAATGCAAACATGTTAATGCAAGGCACATTTTCAGCCACGCCTTACCATATCGGAACAAACGAATCGTTACACCCCTAGTAACTAACCTACATACGACGCAGACTTGGTTCCAGTTTACAGAACGCAGCAGCAGATTGGGACTGAGATTACTTTGCTCATTTATTTGCATGACAGCCGCACACTCACTCCATTCTTCATCTCCCAACGACCCCCAGCATCTTATTGCAAGTTGAGGTTGTACAAATCCAGTAATATTGCAAATACTAGATCCAGTAAAAGCCAGTCATTAGGTAAGGAGACTGCCAAAGTCCAATCGTTCATCACTGCATGAGAACCATTTAACAGGTACCAACACTTTAGTAAATTCGGCCTAAGCCTGGAGTGTTGGGAAACAACTCCTTTTCACAACTGCCAATCTTCATATGAGTCACGATTTTGCCCTTATAGTGGAATCTCAACTCAGCAAAGTTATGAGAAAGTGCTTCAGACAGATTGAAATGTCCACCACCCACCCGGATCTGCCTCAAAGCGGCCTAGACCCACACAATCAGCCTTCTTGTCTTTGGCAATGCTTCAATTATGTTATTATTTGTTCACTACAAGAAATTAATCCCTCCGTGTTGTGCCTGTTTTTCTCCTCATCTGCCCTTCTCCTACTCCTGACCATCTCATCCCGATGGGCATTTGTGCAGCAGGCTATGCTATACGATGAGACGTTTTTGCAATTGAATTTGTGATTAAACTGGATGGCTCAACAGGTCACTGTTTATCCAGCCCTTGTTAGTAGCTAATTCAAAAGTTCTGAAATACCTACATACATTCTAAGTTTCCCCGAGAGTGATGTCTGTATTCTTACTGCATGCTGCCAAAGTCGGAGAACAGTTAAGTGCTTTGTGCTCTTTAACAGCCTACAGACGTTTTGCTCTAGTTAGTCTAACTCCTAACGTTGCCTTGTTCAATGGCTTTGTTTCAAGTGTTTCAAAGGCTTTCGCTCACAGGTCCAGGTTTTTTAAATACTTTAGTTTTCTGCCTTAGTTATTGTGCTATATTTATTAATCATTAAATTATTTCTAGTAGCATTCTGACAAGCTTAATTATGTTTAGTCTACTTTATATTTTACTTGCATAGGATCTGTGGCTAAGCAAAGGGGCAATTATAGCTTTTTCATTGTGCTCTTGGTGGCCATCATATGACACTGGGTATTCTTTGCTGCCAAAAAACTTCAGTTCACCCATCCAAGTACAAAAAAGTGCACAAAACAAATGGAAAAATGCATTGAGTTTGAATACATGTAACGTCGCTATCCCACAATGCTGAAACAGAAGGGCTTGTCCGTTTAAGGCGATCCTATGGACGCGTCCATCCACCATGCAAAGAGAAACATTCCTATTTTGAGCAGTTTAACTGGGCAACTTCACAAGAAATAAAGCTTTTTGTTGTAATCATTCATCATGCTTCTTCACAGTTTCCTGTCTGCTGTTTTCCTTGGTGAGTCACATGAATGAGAAAATATCACACATTTCGGTCACCCCTGTTTGGCAAGCTCAGAACGAAAGGGAACAGAACTCCTTTGGCCTCCATGGGAGCTTTCAGTGGTTCCTCTGCAAATCGGGCACCGTCTTCCTCCACAATGAACTGGAGAGTCTGGGTCTTGTTGACGCAGTAGATGCAGTTGCCAACAACAGCACACCTAAAAGGCAGCGGGCTCCCTTGCTGGTGGGAGGCGCAGTCGTGCCACATCTTGACGATGGTGTTGTATTTGAACACGTTGACGCCTTGCTCGCGGTTGACGTCAAACCTGTAAATGAAGCTTTTCAGCGCCACCATATCTGTAGACTTCTTCCGGCTGTTGTTGTACGGACACTCCTGCCACTCGTCCCTCTTGGGGTCGTATTTCAGGAGACGGTAGAACAGAGAACCTCCTGAGACATACAGCTCTCCGTTGCAAGTGGTTGCCTCATGGGCAACCGCAAAAGCTCCTTTGGGCAGAGGAGCGACGGTGGTCCAACGGTCCATGCGAGGGTCGTACTTCTCCACCGTGAAGAGACATTCCCCACCAATGGCATAGAGGTGTCCGTCCATGGAGACCAGTTTGAGTTGGGACCGCGCTTGGTTCATGGGCCGTATCTCACTCCAACGGTCCGTAACGGGGTTGTAGCAGAAGACCTTGTCCGAAGCCTTCCCTTTCTCCCCGTACCCTCGAATCCCACCTGCCACGAACAGGTAGTTGTACATGCAGCAGATGCCACAGCCCTTGGTGTTGATATCCTCAGGCATGATGGTCAAAGTGCGCCAGTCCTTTGTGCTCTCGTTGTAGTAGTAGATCATGTGGTTGTCCTCAAAAGAAGCGGTGGACAGCGGGCTCTGGGGCCGGCTGTTATTCCTGCTCGGGGGCCTGCTGCCCACGCGGTCAAAAACGTCATTGATCTCTGCCACCATCAGGCAGCTGCGTCCTTCCATGCGATTCCTAAGGACAAGGTCCCTCTCAGAGCCAGTGAGACGGCCATAAACCGCGGGATCTCGCAGGACCTGCAGGAAATTGTCGCTCATGAAACGGTACGCCGTCTCCTTCAGTCCGCTTAACCGCTGCTTTTTGGAGATGGTAAGGATTTCGTAACAGTTCTCCGTTGTGAGCTGCACGGACACGGTGTCAATGGCGGCCTGGACCGCACAGGGGATCTGCAAGATTTTCGCCCCTGTGATGACATCCACAACATTGTCCTTGTTTACATTCATTTTGGAGGAATAAACATAATCTATCAAAACTGATAGCGTCTTATAGCTCATCCCTTTCACCTTCAAAATGTCCCGAGAAAGTCTGGCCTTGAAATAATCACTTTTTTCAGCTAGCACAGACTTGTGTGCTTGGATCTTCTGTCCACCCACTTCAATGACTAAATCGGGCTCCTCTCTGACTGAGAGGGCATTTCTGAGCCCGTTTCCACTATGTGTTACGTCTTGTGCTGGTTCCAGTGGAGACTGTCCAAAGGTTGGCCTATATTGGGTTGCACCAGCTCCCTGTGATGAAGTAAACAAGTGACCCAGTGCTTGTTCCAAAGACCTCGAGTCCGGTGACATAGCGGGGACATGCGAAGGAGCCAGACTACAGGGCACTTCAGCTCTAGCCCCATTCGCCTCTTCCTTTACTCCGTTCTTACTGAAGGTGTCACTCTGCTTAACACTAAGGTCCAATGCTTCTGCCTTAGAGCCACCCAGTGACTGAATGTGATCCTGAAACCCACTGTCACTGGAGCCACCATCTTGCAGGTAGTCTCCCGCCCCTGTGCTCTGCTGTCCCAAACTGCCAGTTTCCGTTAGACTCCCAGATTCCACTGTATCCCAGGATGTCTGCTGGCACAGAGCCTGATGCTCAGAACCAACAGTTTTTCCTGTCCTTGGAATGACGTCATCGTTTCCTTCAGTAATGATGGATTGCTCCGAGGCATCGTGGCTGGCGGCGTGAAATATGACGTCTGCCTTCACGGTGAAGGTGTTTCTATCTCGCAGCGAGCTGTTCATCCTTCCTCAGTCACGGGCTGCCCTCTGAGAGCACAGCGTATTAAACAAAAAAGGAAAACGAACAATCTAATTTGTCAGAGTTTAGCAAAGCTCATCCTTCGCTGACACTCGCTCAGACAAAACTCCCAGTGGGTTTCAAAGCTGATTGATGTCTGTTAATTATCTGAGTCCAGCAGAAAGTCATTCATAGCCAGCCCCGCTTGATGTATCCTAATCGGACCGCCTCAGCATAGCAGTCTGGATCTTTTGATTGCTTTCCAGCCCCATCAGATGGCTTCATTTCTGGCTTGACAAGAAAGTCCTTTGTTTTTCCCTTGCATCACTTTTGCTCCCACTGCCTCTGTGTTCATCCTCTAAGCGCAGAGTGTCTTCCTCTAGGCCTGTATCAAAGAGAAAACAATTATTTTTAGTCTTTCATGTTAAATATCTCAGCTCTATGGGATATAATTATTAAATTAAATTAAAATATCGATCTAAAGTTTCAGCATATCTGACTGTATGTTTTTCATTCAGATCTAAACTGTTTTATTGGTTAAATTAGTTTCTAAGACAAACAGAAATAGTTTGGAAATGTATTTATTTCCAAAACATTTTAAATGATGCTCCCCACAAGTACTTTTCAGCAGCCAACAAGGTTTCAGCAAATGTGTATCTTCTTCAAGCTTACTGGGAGAGTCTGCAAAGCAAGGCTGAAAAGGCTCAAAAGATGGGGCTACTTTGAGGAATTAAAAGGTTTTGCTTTAACAAAATTTTGGGTTTTGTTTTTGTTTAACAAAATTTTTATGGAACTGAATAATTCCATATATCATCGCTATCCAAAGAAAAACATGTATCTCCATCATAGTAACTTTACAATGTACTTCAGTGGATAGAGAATTTATTCCAAGTCATTTTGGGTTCTATTGGTCCAATCATCATAACACTTTTACACATTTTAAACAACAGCTACTGTGTTAAAATGATGCAGAAAAGGTGATAAAATTGGACAGCGACAATGTGCAATTTCAGCTTTAAAATCATTGTTATTCTAAAATATATATAAACAGAATACGTAAGAGCAGAGGTGGGTAATCCAGGTCCAGAAAGTAAAAACCCTCCTCAGGATTTTGTTCCAGCAGCCTGAACACCACTGCTGCTGATCTGAACAAACAAGAGAGGACAAGCAGTTGGAACAAAATCCTGGAGAGGATTTTTTACTTTTTGGACCTTGATTACCCACCTCAACATTAGAGAAACCTTTTCTTAGCGCGTGTCCAAACTTTTGACTGTTGCACTTGACTATGCAAAAAGGGTCTGAGAGGGGGCGCTGTTTCTCACGAAAAGTCTTTAAATCCCAATATTTTTTGAATTATTTATTACATCAGTAGGGGCAGGAGATGATGACCCCATTTCCCCAATATTAATTGTGATTTTCGTACAACTGAGACGTTCTAATGCTAAAAAAAGAACTAGAATCAATCGAAATGTGTGCGAAATTGAAAACGAGGAGCAAAAACATGAAAAAAGAGAATGAGAGAAAATTCCCTCAGACAAATTCCCTTCGACACTTTTCCCTTAAAGTGGAATGTTTCTCACGAAACGTTGTATCGACCTCCTACATCTCACTGAATAACACGAATCCAGCCTGAAGCCATTACTGTCACTACTCGCCAGCTTCTCGTTCCAATGTATCTGCTGCACCATTTAAGGTGGAACGGGAAAATTCGAAGCAGAAGCTGGCGAAAAAGAACCGGATTTCAGGGATATTATCTTTCTACAGCAGGAATACCGTCTAAAAAACGGAGATACTTACGTGTTGACGTGAATTTCCCTCACGAATCGTCTTCTCTGAGGACATTAACGTTCCCGTTAACACAAAGCCCTCTTATGTAAGGCAGACACAGCCTTTCCCTCAAGACAGTCCACACTGCAGGTGATTTTTCAGCGCGAGTGCTTCAAATCCTCCTCACAGAAAATGAGCTCGTCCTCCAGCAACGTCTCAGAAATAGAAATTCAATGGCGGTTTCATACGCCAGAGCCTCTTTTCCCTCCGTGTGGTCCTCAGCAAGCAACAGCATCTGTTTTCAGTCACCGAAGCGTTTGAAATAAGAGATTATCTGACTGCAGCCAGCACAGAGGCTAGTCCACGGAGCGTTTTGGGTCTTTTTCTGGCCAAAAGAGAGGAGACATCATCTTTTAATCTTCAAATTTAACCACGCTAGGTCGCCGGGCTGCGATGCAGGAGCTGATAGTATTTTAGTTCTGCTCTAAACCAGGGGAGTTATGGATGAAGCCACACCCCCTTTTGTGTTAACCCTACACTAAAGCTACTGTAGGCTATGGAAGAGGCATTCCTTCACACAGCTTGGTCTGGGTGGCTGAGGGTGTGCTGGGAAAATGAATGTCTCCAGGGCACTTCATCTCTAAAATCAGGTCTCAGTGAGGAGTGAAGCAGTAGCAATCTTATCTGCATTACATTAGAGTGTCCCCATTCAGCAAACCCCAGACAAGGGTGAGTAAGGATATTCAGCCAAGAGAAAAGGCCATGGTTCTCTTATCAAGATATCTCATAACCTGTACATTTAAAGTGTAATTCCAATGATTTCTCAAAAAAAAAAAAAAAATGAAATGATTGAGATGTAAATATATAGTCATTCAGAGTGGTTTGGTGTGAAATGCTCAATTCTGGAGAAACTTAAAGAGCCAGAATTGTTCACAGCTGTGGTGACAGGATTACGAATCCAAAGTATTGTGGCATCAGCGCACGCCTAGTATCCCACTTCTGACACCAATGTAATGTTGGAGGTTTGCAGAAGAAGTGCAGGCAGCTCGGAGTTCAAACCCATGACACAGCTTTAATAAGATATACAGTACATTTTCAGGCTACGTCACAGCTCTTACTCTTAGCTTGCTCTCGCTCTCTCTAACTCTGCTACAACAAGCACCACCTTGGCAGACCCTAGGCCCTCCAAAATAAAACTCTAATAAATGCTAGGAACAATAACCCAACACTACGATGAGGAAAACCTCTTAGAACTGAATAAAACTAAGCGTGCGGTATTTAAATGTGTCTAAAAGTAAAACAGCCCCTAAAGAAAACTACTATGACTACTATTTTAGCATTGTCAACATTATACATAAAAAAAAAATCACACAATAGTCATTTCGCATTAGAAATAAAATGGATATATTTTAATTGTTTATGTTGCAACCCCGGTTTCTGTCATCACCTCTGTAAAGAAATCAGCATCAGTACTGTTTCACATCAAAACAGCCTGAATGGCCCGTTTACATCCCAACCACTGAATTATGCAGACATTTCTGCCTTTAATTTCCCTTTAACCTTTAATGCTCCAGGTTATTTTTCTGCCTGAATTTGCATGCCCAAATATAAAGAAACAGGGCAGTCATGACGTTCCCAAGGGTGAGGGGATTATTAGTTCTAGAAATGGACAAATCTTTTGACACAGGAATATTGTACAGGACAGCTGCTCTTCCCTCCTTGGTCTCTTGTGCATTCCCGGGGCAAGCACCGTGTTAAAGCAGACAAAATGCCAGGGCTGAGGCGGTCTCTGTGCTTGACAACACATGCGTTGACAGCTCTGTCACCGAGGGGGCCCTGTTAATACAGACATCAGCTGTTCAGACATCAACATTCAACAAGGGTATTTCTGTGCTAGCAAAAAAAAAGAGCTGGTAGTGTTGTGTATTGACCTTGGATTGAATTGTCAGACATATCAGTTGCTCCGCTTGAGCCCAGGAGACTGGAAATTGCGTTAGCTGGTACTAAAGTGCTGCCCTACATTTTCTGCAAAGTGTATCTCACAAAACAAAAGTGAATTTATCAACAGTATAACATTTTATTATCGTATTAAAAGGTGTTCTTCAGGGGTCCATACTTGGTCCTATTTTATTCATGCTATAAATGAGTAGTACTGTACACTGAAGTCATATGTAAGGCATTGTACTTAGTCCAATGATGTGTCTAACCAAAGCTATATGCTAGCAAACTGCCCACCATTGGCAAAAAAGAGCACTTCAAGTATCAAGCGATGTACTTTTAAGACATTTTCCTTGCTTCCATTAAGTTGTAATGCCTGTAAAACACCTGTTTTATCCAAATCACAGATGAGAAATGTAGAACATTCCCTTGATAAGACATAATGTGTCTTATTGACACATCATGGTACAAATCTTATCATAGTAGCACAAAATCATGCTCTTTTCAAATAGACATAAGTCTACAGAGAAAAAGAAGAGCCTGGTGGGAGAGTTCCACATGCTGTAATCATCCAGGCAGCTCCTTACTTCCATTACTTCATGCGCTCCAGGCAACAGCTTGTTCAAACGCGTTATGGGATATTTCAAAATGTGTCATAATATACGGAAAAGGCAAACTTGCTCCAGAGAGTTACGAAAATGACAACGGGATCCCCCAATTGATATAAATATGGGTTTCATTTACTATGAGTGGAATCTTTGCCAGCAAATGGAAGACACTATGACGATGCACACAACTTTGAGAAGCATATACAATAATATTGTCAAAAATTGTGATATTAGGCCTTTTAAGTAGTGATGCATCAATAACATTTTTTCCAGATGAACTATGAGTATGATTAATGTTTTTTAGTACTTGCCAATACCAATACCATAATTAGTAACCTACTTATAATTTAGTAGTTGTTTGTATAAATGAGTGCAATGCATCCTAAAGAGTTAAATCATTTAAATCTAGCTGATTTTAAATGAAGTGCATTAACTAATTATGCTACATTAGTTACCTTGGATTGAATAACGTTGCAGTGGAGAACAGTGGGTTTTGTTACACATCTGAAAAGCACTTCTGTACAGCTGCAAAATAAGTTTCATAGTTTTGATCCCCTGCCCAATTTATATAGTATGTGAAGCGCAGCCCCTACACACAGCTCAGTCTACAGACGTTTATCAATAAAGCTATTTCATTCAAAACAATAAACTGCACATCCGAGTACTGAGTAAAAAACATTGAGAATTTGTGCTATAGCAGCTATGCTACTTGTTCCACACTGTTCAACGAAACTGAAAGCAGATGGTGATAGACAGGGTAGGACAATATGGCCTCTCTACATCCTCTTTTATAAATACAATTTTTAAAGTCATTAAAGAGATCTATTTATTAAAGTTTTTACTTTGCAGTTCTTTTCAGTCACTGCATTAGGCTCAGAGTGTACGCTAACCTTATGGCACGTGGTATCGGATGTTGGTATTGGTGCATTTTTTTTTTACAAACTTGAGTACAAATAAATGAGCATGGTATCAGGCCAATACCCAAAGCAGTATAAGTATTGATGCACCCCTACTTTTAACATTTCATTACTTTTTTGTTAAATCAAACTGAAAGACAATTCTTTTAATGTAGAAAAATAAAAGGCAAACATTGTAATAGTGGCATACTTCAGTTTTTCAGTTTAATAGAACTTCTCATCCCTCTTTTCATCCATGTTTAAGGCCTTAGAGTCACAGAAAGCACCTTCCAGCTAAATCCAAAGGTATTCACTTTTCTTTTTTGACAATTAATTTATGTGCTTGATGCCACATTAAACAACAAATAAGTGTGCAAATAAGAAACAAATTAAAAACAAATGGGTTACATTTTTTGGTAAGAAAAGCATGATTATCACTTGACAGATACACAAGAAAAAGGCTGGAAAAACCTATGTAGACAGTTGTTAAAAGACATGATAGCATACATACTGAATGGCACCATTATCAAGCTTTCTTAATCATATTAAATATTCATACATGACGAAATTAATTTAGGAATATGAAACATCCCACTAGTGTCTAATAGGATTGATATACGTCCACTTTGATTTAGGAGCTATGGGAAATCTGGCCAGCCAGAAATGCCACCAAAGTCTCTCCTTTACAAAATATTAGCTAGATTGTTTTTATTTTTTGGCTTTATAATTTCAGCTAAAACATTAGCTGATGTCTTGGCCTTGGAATAACTGGTGACTCCAATCAACTTGAAACTTTGGACAAAGAAAAATGTGGGAAGACAACAGATGTACTCTCAGTCCCTGGACATTCTGGGAGACCTTTTGTGATATACTGATGAAAATAAAAATTGAAAACTGAATTAAGTGGAGTTAGGAATTACATATCGCCAAAATGTAAGCACGCAGCAGCTAAAGATGCATAGGAATATTTTGCATTAGCAGTGTTACTTCAGTCTAGACACTTCAAAAAACAGTTAGCAGAGTCGTATTGCAGTATTTCCTCCATCCAACTTCCAACTGCCATCAACGATATTTCAAGTAACACAAGGGTCCAAAACCATGCAGAAGTGGTTATACTGACGTCACGTCCGCAGCATTCGAGAAAGAGCTTCGACTGAGACTGTGTAGTCCCTCCTCGTATCTCTGTTTCCCTTTCATTCAGCATTAATCCATTTTTACACCACGATGAATCTGTCGCTCGGAAGAGGAGGAGAATGCTTCGGAAAAGCACAGGGAGGGACACTGCACATCAACCCTGTGCCATGTAATGCCACCAACACCCTGGAGAAAAAAAGAAAGAAACAAAACAAAACAAAACAAAAAAAACATGAGATACAAGAGGAGACATTATTGTGTATTTGTGTACAGGAGCCTTGTTTTTAGCTTATCTGTGTCTTTTTCAATAAAAAATATATCTGTGGTTGGTAACTAAAGACCAGCTCCTTTAAATATTGAATGGCTCAATCATTTACACAGTTTTTATTACATGGAAAAATCTATATACACCAAACTATATTGATGGAAAAAGCTGACGATAGCACGTTTTTTTCCCCCCAAATATCGAACAAATGTGCCATGGAAAACAGCTTCAGAAACCTAAATTCTTATAGGTTTAAAAACCTTTCTTTACAAAAAAGCTGATTAAAATCAATCCTAAATAGCTCTAAATTCCAGCTGCGAACAATTACTGCTAAGCCTTCAGTCCTAGGCCTTAAAAATCAAAGTTTGGTGAAAAACGAGGAACTTCTGCCAGCACCTCTATGGGATTCTAGTGTTATGTTAGTGCTAAGCTAATGTTGATTCACATGAACTTTTTTTTAGTCGTTCTGATTTGAAGTTTGCAAAAGACATTTTATGTTAGAAACTTGTAACAGACATTTATATATATTTTACCTTGTATGTAGCAGTTTCACAGTGATTCTTTCTGTGAAGAGTTCTGACGTAGGGCTGCTGCTGTTCTCCATTTCTAAAACCTGGCTGAAACCTGTTTAGACTATCGTTTGTATTCACAGGGAGTGTCTTATCTGGAACTTCCAGAAAGCCTAGAGGGACGTTTTTCTCATGAAAAAATGTGATTAGTTAATTCTACTGTCAGCTAAATCTGCTGGCAGTTAGTCGGGCATGACGAGCTCCTGAAGGCCTAACAAATGGGACAGGTTGGCTGTATCTACCCAGCAGTACCGTTTGGGCTTGAGCGTCAAGGTCTCAGGTACAGGTGGGACTCAGGCTTCAGCACCCTGTTTCCTCTCACTCACCTTTCTGTACTATATCTGTCTCCATCTCCACGTTCATACGTTGAGGATGGGGATCTGCCATACCATGATGGTGGACACGCTCTCCTCATGCCGTGCATGCTTGGTCTTTCTGTTGACCCGGCGGTGACCCAGCCCACCGGAAACCACCAGGAGTGAGCTCACGTCCATTCGCTGTGCTCGTTTGGCCTTCTGGGAGTGTGCGGGGTCATTCAGAAGGTCATAAATGGCCCCGTCCTCTGGTCCGTGCTCCAGAGAGCTGTGGGACGGTGCCAGTGAGCCGCAGGAGGAGGAGAGTGAGTCCTGGAGGACTGGAGCAGGGACCAGGGCCAGAGCCAGAACCAGGTCCAGGGGAGCTTCTGCTGCTGTCGCACAGCCACACGCCTCTGTCACTGGACGCGGCTGGAGCAGAGCCTGGCCTTTCCTCCTCTAGAGGACCACACTGGCTGGAGAAGCTGGCAGAGACTGGAGCTGCAGCAGCCGACGGCAGGTTACACACCGGCATGGCTGCGGTGAGGAACTTCACAGGGCCGTGATGAGCGTGGAAGGACACCATGCCTCGCCCTGTGGGGGTGGCAGCGTGGAGAGTGAAAATGCAGTGTGGACCGTTAGAAGTCCAGTGCTATTGCTGTTATTTGTTATATATTTGCTGTATAATTACATAATCACATTTACATCCTGTATGAACAGCTTCTGACTTTTTTCCCTGTTTATTTTGATTTCAAAAACATGGAAAGAAATCATAAAGTATCTCTCCTTCTACACAAACACAAATGTGGTATTGACAAAGTTTGGAATCTGCAATTTTGACAAAATTTATTTGCTTGTTTCAATGAGCAGCGAGTCAGAAATAATTAAAGGGAAACTCCGGCCAAGAATGAGAATGAGATCTTCCACTTTAAAGTCTAGGAAAACCTACACTGATGATGTATTTTAAAGGTGAGAGGAACTATAAGCACTCTGGGGTGGATATTTGAAGGTGGGCTGCTTAAATTTTTTTTTTTCCCACTAGCTGGCAAATGCAGAAAGAAGCCAGATAGCTAATGGTATTCCTAGTAAGCTATTAGCCTATATATCAGTGGCTGTGCGAGCAGTCAGGATTTCTTTACCACCTGATACTGGGGGGTTTCCAATGATTGTATGACATATTTCCCTAATGCATGCTGGGTATTATAATGAGAGAAAACAGATGGACAAAAACACAGCGAATTCTGTCGAACTGATGAGACTGAAGGACGCATATTAAAAGCTAGTTTTAGGCTGGAATAGACCTTTAATACCATATTACACACAAGCCCTCATTGTCACCAATTTCTGAGAGTTAAATGTGAGCCAGTCTGCTCTGGGATGCTTTATGCTATAATTACAGAAGCAAACAGTGCCTTCTGCTTTATAATTATACTTGATGTGTGTTCAGCACAATAAACACACCCCTCGGTTGAGGACTTGCACACTGGTTTATGTTTAGACTGTCGTTTAACTGAAATGTTGATTTATAGTGCAGCAGTGGCCTCTAGTCAGTAACTACATTTATCTTTAAACTTCTCCCAAAAACATTGAGAGTTCTAGGGCCACACATTAATCCCCAAAGAGTTAATTACACCCATATAACATGACAGAACTTGGTTCGGACTCTGAAAGCAAGTATATTTGTCTCCTGAGAAACACTATTTACCTCATTAATCTAGATAAACGATCAGGCATCGTTTCAAAGAAAAGAGTGCACATGCACTGCGTTTAATGCTGTACAGTCATCTTGACTCAGACAATAGTGGTTTATCTAAATCTGGGGTGTGCTTGATTTCTGTGTCTGTCCCGGACTGCAGTATCCGGAGGCCCCCAGGTCCTAATTAAAGTCTGATTCATGTGCTGGGAGTGTGAAATTACCCGGTTTCAGCAGAAATCGCTGGGGAGTAGCTAAAGGCCTTCAGCCATCAAACCTATCTAACAGTCTTTAGTACAATTAAGATACAATATCTCTTTGAGAGTGCAAAATAAGCATGCTGGTCTGGGCCGGGCTCTGCTGAATAATTACAGGATCTGCAAATTAACCCCTTCTGCGCTGAAGGTCAAGCACTCCACAAGATGGAAAGCTGTTCAGTAACAATGGATACAAAGCAGCTTTGAAGCAAATTAAAGCATGGTTTATTTCCTATAACCTGCTAATGATAAAGAACTGTGTTCTCCAAAAGGCGAATAGATCAGGGCAAAATCACACAGCCAATTAGGACTGGGCTGAAAATCCTTTGGAGAGTAGGGTTAATCTCAATAATCCTATTTAAAGGAAAGACTCAGTTTGTTCCTGAGGTCTAAACTCACCTGTGACCTTGGGAATCCCCTGTAGTCTGGGCACGGACAGAGCCACTGTCACTCCGAGATTTGTCCCCACTAGTAGCAAACCATGACACACCAGCAGGCTGCTCACAGAGACCCTCTGGTGACCTGGACGAGGAAATAAACAATGAGTTCAAACACTTGTGTTGATAAAGTAAAATGTCTTTGATAAGCACTTGATTACAGCAACACTTCAGTGAAAAATCTAACTTGCATAAGCTTCTCTTTAAACAAAACGCAGTCTATCAGCTGAGACACGTTCGTGTCCAAAGTTTTGTTCTTTTATTTTGCTTTGTGTAAAATGCACATCTCTTACAATCATCACACACCTGTCTCTAGCCTAAAACTAGCATTTAATATAATATTTCATTGTGTTGTGTAGCATTTTGTAGCCCTTCAGCCTCATCAGTTTGAGAAAATTCATGATTCCCATCACTTGGTTTGGACTCTGAAAGCATTTATGCATTACCCACCATGCATAATGCAAATTCGCCATGCATTATGCAAGCATGTCATATAACCATTGGGAACTGCCACATGGCAATAAAGAAATCCTTACTGCTAGAATGGCCTCTGATCTATAGGCTAATAAATATGGAGCAGTAACATTAACTGTCTGGCTTCCTTCTGCTTTAGCCAGCAAATGGAGGAAAGTATATATAATATTTCAAACAGCCCACCCTCAAGCACCTTAAGTGCTTGTAGCTTCAATATACATCATCTAAAAGGGTGTGGGGGGGGGGTCCTCATCTTAAAATGCAAAAATCTCACTCAGTGCTGTAAGAAGAGAGTAGGCATGTTTACAACAGATGTAGCAATGGTTACATTTTTCATTTCATCATAAATGCCCCTTCATGTAATCTCACATAGACTTGCCTGTGTTTCTGACATTGTATGACATTGTTATCTATACATCTCATAGCAAAAACAGTTGAGGCAGACACCTTGATACCTTTTACTTATTCTTTTGTCTTTTAAAATGATAAATAAATAACAATGATGCAGTTTGCATTCATGTGGTATAAGCTTCCATTATTTGTTAGCTACATTAGCCTAGCGTGAGAAACCTCACACACCAAACATGCTTTGACTGATGAGCTACATTTTGGGTAAAGGAAAACTGTGTAAAATAGATTTTCTTGCCGCATTATCTCATTAAGCCCTTTTAGGGATGATTTTCCAAACCTATAAAGTGTAGTACTGGACTCCAGATGATTTTCAGCCAGATGGGGACTTTCATAGCAGGCCAACACTATGCTCAATGTGTGTCCAGACAAGCAAGCCTGAGACATTACTTCTTTATTTTGGAATGCATGTGACATTTGTGAATAGGCGTCAGTGTTGGCTATAGGGTATGAAGTGTTAGCTGTGTAAAATAGCAATGGCCACTCAAAGCAGGCCGTGTAGGAGGAAGCTGGCTCTAGAGCATGTGTGGGTAAGTTACTATGGCAATGGGCGGTTGGTTTCCAGGGAAACCGTACACGATTTGCTGTGCGGAGAGAAAGAGAGGACTCGTCGTTCTCGTCTTCAATGGAAAAAAAGGAAGAGCGCTGCAAGTGCTTTACCCTTTAGGGTTACGCAAACCGCTCCAAACTCTGAATCCGAATGCATTGAGAGGAGTGGATTGAGCCATGTTTTATAAGTTGTTGGCAAGTACTTGCAAAACTACAATACCTGCAATCTATTAAGAAACACTGCACTTGTTTAGATGGAGCAACGTCAGCACAGCTTACAAAACCTTCCGACCTGTGGTCAGCATTAGCATCTCTGAAAATCACAGTGAAAACTATTCTAAACTCAATAGAGATAATTTGACCAAAAGTGACCTGCAGACCCAGGAGTCATGCTTTGCTCTGAGAGTCCACAGCCCCCTCAACGCTTCCTTAACCACAAGTCAGTCACCAAACGACCAGTTTGTTGTGCAAGACAGAGGCGGTTAACGGCATGAATCAGAGGACAAGCGGTTCCACTGTGCTCACTCGCTCATTAGGAGAAAGTTGGATCATATTTTACAGCATCACACATCGTTAGTTTGACCATGGGAACTCTGCTCAAGCAAAGAAAACCAAACAGACAAAGTGAACGTGTTCGCAGACAAGGCATTCTTTATGGACACACAACTTAGCGGCTGTTATGTATTTCCAGTTACACAAGTTTAACAGTGTTACATCTAAATTAAGGACCTTTCAACAAGTGTTCAACTGACCATTCACATGTGACACGGAGACGCTGCATTTAAACACTTAAAGCCACAAGTCAGTCCCTCACTGTCATAACTTACATACTAGTTTCATGGTAGTGAGTACTTAGATACTAAGTAATAAATCTTGCAGCTATTTTTCAACATTCCTGCATAATTCAATCAGCGAGATAGCAGATTTGAAATGGTTCACTGTAGAGAAACGTAGCGACTAGATTTCTTTACAGTGGTGGTGACAGGAACCAGGGGTCACAATGTGTACTATGCAAATATAGCCATTTTTTTTAGCTGTATCAACATGTCCAGTGAACCTGCGTGTAATAATAAACAGCGTATGTAATGTTAATAATGGTAAAATACTGAAAAAATTAGGCCAAAACTTTATCTCAGACCTATCATAAAAATAACAGCATCTGGCAGTGTTTTCGAAACCATTTTGTGTAATAACATTATGTGACGGAGCTTTTAGAGGCATTCAACTCCTTCAGATGTCTGGTTCCTATTAGCACCACACAAGTGTTCAACAGGCATCTGAACAATTCTCACTTAAGTTTCATTAGATTTCGCATCAAACCACATGAATGACCAATGAAAGACTGACTATGCACAAACTTTGAAACATTTGTTCAGGTATTTCATAAAATTTGTGTATACCTGAAGAAGAAATCGTTGGGTTCTAGGGATTAAAGCACCAAAAGAAAGATACGTCATGTAAAGATGCTAGAAAGCCCTTTCATACATTACCCATGAATCGCTATGGCTTGCGCTTATGTTCCACAACAGCAATGGCAGTTATCAATGATTACAATGGCTGAACTTCAACATTAAATGATTCATAAGTGATCATAATCCTATTCTAAGCAAGCTGGATAGCATCACTGAAACAGATCTTGAAGAACTGCTGTATAACACACAATTATTATACACACTGACCAAGAGAGCACTTGTATAGGAAAAGGCACAGGTTCAAGCCCCTCTTGGGGTCTTTCTGTGCATGTGCCTGATCTTCTGCATGGAAAAAAAGAACATCAGGGAAAGGAGAACTGGGTCACCTGGAGAGAATGATGTTCATGTGCCTCTTTGGAAAATACAGCCTCATACAATGACAAGGAAGCCAATTTAGACCACACATGGTGTTTATTTCAACCTTCGTGAGTTATAAACCAAGAAAGAAACAAAAGTGGTCCATGGAGAGGTGGCATTAACCCCCCATTTATACACAAAGGATCAAACGAGTTCAGATATATTTGGATCCCTCAAAGCAGCTTTTGCACTTCCTGAACTCCCTAGCAATTTCAAACTAAGTCTAAGATCCTCAGAACATCAAAAGCCTGAAACAATAATGGAATTGTGCAAATGTGTGTAGTATGAAAAGGTTTTACTGGATCCAAATACAACCCGATATTCATGGGTTGTATTTTCCAGACAGAGGTGTCTAACATCACTGCCCTCCTCTGCATGCTGCTCTGTATCCACAGCAGTGGCCAAAGACATAAAAAGTCGTGACATCCTCAGCAGGCAGGAATAGATTCAGCTGCAATGCGCATCAGCCTTTTGGGTTGTCACAGTAATATGCAGTCTGGTCTTCTGGACGAAAGGACACAGTGCATAAATAACCAGTGGTAGGCAATGTTCTTGCTTTCTTGTATGTTGTCCCTCAAAATAAAGGTCTGCACAAGGTGGGTTCCCCTGCGGATCCCACGTGACCTGCGAAAATAATTTGCGGGTGGGATTAATTTTGAGAAGCCACGGTCATAGCGGGTAAACAGCCAACAAGTTGCGGGCTTGCGTGGGAGGGTATTGTGGTTTGCTGGGTGGGGCAGACTTGGACAATTCTTGGCCGTTTGGGGAAGCAGACAGGCGGGCAGCAAATAAGCTGCAAGTGAGCCGCAGAGAAAAAAAACGGTTAGTAATTTTCACATGATGAAGCTATATACACTGATCAGACATGACATTATGACCACCTCCTTGTTTCTTTGTCCATTTTATCAGCTCCACTTACTATATAGGTGCACTTTGTTGTTCTACAGTTACAGACTGTAGTTCATCTGTTTCTCTGCATACTTTGTTAGCCCCCTTTTACCCTGTTCTTCAATGGTCAGGACCCTCACTGACCACCACAGAGCAGGTACTGTTTGGGTGGTGGATCACTCTCAGCACTGCAGTAACACTAACGTGGTGGTGGTGTGTTAGTGTGTGTTGCGCTGGTCTGAGTGGATCAGACACAGCAGTGCTGCTGGAGTTTTTAAACACCTCAGTGTCACTGCTGGACTGAGAATAGTCCACCGACCAAAAATATCCAGCCAACAGCATCCTGTGGGCAGCGTCCTGTGACCACTGATGAAGGACTAGAGGATGACCAACACAAACTGTGCAGCAGCAGATGAGCTATCGTCTCTGACTTTACATCTGACAAGGTAGGAGTGTCTAATAGAGTGGACACAGTGTTTAAAAACTCCAGCAGCACTGCTGTGTCTGATCCACTCATACCAGCACAACACACACTAACACACCACCAACACGTCAGTGTTATATAGCAAAAGCAAAGTCAGGCTGCTTGGCTGTGCTGATGTCACACAATGTGACGCTGACTGTGCGATTTCTTACGGTTTTTTTCGGCCTAAACATCCACAAATTATTTCTTTCCAGTTTCTAACATTCAAACATTTCTTTTCGTGGTTGAGTTTGTGGAGGTGCGATGGGTCTGGAGGTTGGGCCGCCGTGTTGGCGGGGGTGGGTGTGAGCATGCTCTATGGCTGTGGTGTGGATTCCAGAGGCTAAACATGGGCAGGTGCGGACAATAACCATGGCCCAAAGTAGGCAGGTCTGGGTGGGCATGACTTGTGGTTGAAGCAAGCAGGTGCGGGCAGGTACGGCAAAAGGTTTTGCAGATGGGAGCGAGCAGGAA